GAGTCAGAATTGACTTGGGACAATGGGTCTGACTTGCTTAATCTTTACGCAGACTTTAAGCAAACTGTGTCCTATCTTTCATGCTCAGAGTGGCTGGGCACCATGAGTGGGATCTACTTATGAAAATCATCCACTGAGAACCCTGTAGGCACAGTTCTACTCTGACACTTGAGGGGCACCATGAGTGGGATCTACTTATGAAAATCATCCACTGAGAACCCTGTGGAGCGCAGTTCTACTCTGACACACACATGGGCATGAGTGGGATCTACTTATGAAAACTCATCCACTGAGAACCCTGTGGAGCACAGTTCTACTCTGACACACACATGGGGCACCGTGAGTGGAATCTACTTATGAAAAATCTTCTGCTGAGAACCCTGTGAGCACAGTTCTACTCTGACATACACGGGGCACCATGAGTGGGATCTACTTATGAAACATCATCCACTGAGAACCCTGAGGAACCCCAGTGTCACTTAGACACACATGTACCTCTGAAACATGCTCCTAACCTGGGCCAGGCCCCGCCCACACTCCCCTGAAGATGGTTCAGCTTCTTAAAGTCTTGCACCCCTGCACCTATCTATGCTCGGTAGAGTAGGCAGTATGGTTGTATTTCTTTTTCAGAACTAAATATTATATATGTATATATATATATATATATAGAGAGAGAGAGAGAGAGAGAGAGAGAGAGAGAGAGAGAGAGAGAGCATTATTTCACCCAAGCCGTGGTATTTTTAGTAACCTCATATGCGTGTGAAAGCTGGACAGTGAATAAGGAAGACCGTAGAAGAATTGATGCTTTTGAGTTATGGTGTTGGAGGAGAATATTGAAAGTACCATGGACTGCCAAAAGAACCAACAGATCTGTGTTGGAAGAGATGCAGCCGGAGTGCTCTTTAGAAGCCAGCATGGTGAGACTTCATCTCTCATACTTTGGACATGTTATCAAGAGGGACCAGGTCCTGGAGAGAAAGACATCATGCTTGGTAAAGTGGAGAGGGTCAGCAGAAACGAGGAAGGACCCCCAACAAGATGGATTGGCACAGTGGGCTCTAGTGTACCAATGTGAGGGTGGCATAGGACATGTTGTACTCTGGGAACAGACTCTGCAGCACCTAACAACAGCAACATAGAAGGTCCGGCTGTGGCACTGTCAGATAAGCACTGGACTGGCGACCACAGAGTCGGGGGTCAAAACCCACGTCTGCTCTCGGGAACCCTCTCCAGCATTGCTATGAGTTGGAACCGACTCAATGGGACACGACTACAGGATAATAGCTTCCATGGTTTTTTTTGGTGTTAACACTCATACATATGAAGGTACCCTAGTGGCACAATGGTCAGATGCTCAGCTGCTAACCAAAAGGCTGGTGGTTCAAACCCACCCAAAGGCTTCTCAGGAAAGACCTGGTAATCTGCCTCGTAAAGACTACAGACTAGAAAACCCGGTGGGGCAGTTCTCTGTCACGTGGGGTCGCTATGGGTCCAACATTGACTAGGTTTCACAAAACAACAACACCCATTTAATACTGTTGGCCAAGCAGGTGAGACCACATGACCCTCAGAGAGGAGAAGGGTGGACTCTGGAAGTGAGGCCCCCGGTGGGGAGGGTGTTGACAGGACCAGGGCGGATGGGAGACAGAGGGGAGACTAGTCTCCAGAGCAGTTGAGGTGAAGCGTATGTGGTACCCTCTGCCAGTGTGTGGAATGACGTAAAATAAGTGCCCCATAACTGGGGTCAGTTCTGTGTACGTTTGAGGTGATTTTTGTTTCAAGCCAGAGTGTCTGAGGAGGAACAGTTTCTCTTCAGGACTCAGCTGTCTTCTTTCCTACATCCCTTCATGGCACCCAGAGCTTAGCATGGCTTCTCAGAACAGCTGCCACACAGCCCTGGAGGTGAAGACCCTGTGTGTTGGGGCTAGCAGTTCTACCTGAAGGTCATGGGTCACGGCATTTGTGGCCTCATGTGTGAACCTTCAGGGTTTCTTCTAGACCATCGTCTGGGGAGCTGATGGGGCACAAGATGGACTAAGTTGGCAAACAGCCATTGGTTTCTGGTGCGAGTTGGGTGGTTCTGGTGTGACATGTGGTTCCTTGGGATGGATAAAGCACTGGGCTGGGGTGATCCCTGCTTTTGGTGCCTTGAATTGGAGTGAGGGGCTCTCTATGCTTGGGGTCTGGAGGCTACAGGGGAGGGCAAGGGGATCCACAAAGCTGGACCATGGTACAAAGACAAGTTAATAATGTTCTACATTGGAACATTGTCTTCAACCTAAAAGCTCCTTTTCTTCTGACATCAAGCAAAATTGGAACAGGAGACACTCTTTGGAGGACATGCCGTTCACCTGCCTCCTGTCTGTTGGTATACATTAAATCTTGCTGGCTTCACACACAGAAAAAGGGAATGAGAACATCAGCGCAGACCCCTAAAAGTGCCGTGGGCCACACTTAACTGGACCTTCTCCTTGCAAACCTTTCTGTGCCATGGAGACTGTTTGGCCCTCAGCGACTCTCTGGGACAGAGTAGAAGGTCTTTTAAGGTTTTTAAGGTTGTGAGAGGATGTGGCATTCTGTTACTGTGACACATTTACAGCCTTGGAGTCCCCATGGGGCAGTTGCCCAGTGGCCCCTGTAGGTTTGCTATGAGTCAGAATTGACTTGGGACAATGGGTCTGACTTGCTTAATCTTTACGCAGACTTTAAGCAGACTGTGTCCTATCTTTCATGCTCAGAGTGGCTAGTGGGTTGGAACCGCCGACCTTTGGATTAGCAGCCAAATGCTTTAACCACTGTGCTGACAGGGTTTCTTGGCCAGGGGAAGGAGGGGTGAAGTGTGGTGGTTCTGAAGTGGACCTGTTCTGAAAAAAATTTGGTAAACAGAGAGGAACAACTTTAAATCAGGACAAACTGCATTTCCATACAGGGAGTTTTATAACATCGGGTACTGTATTCCATATGTTTACGGTCTTCTTCCTCAATCCTCTAGGGAATTGTTCACGATGGCAGAAGCTCACCAAGCTGTGGCCTTTCAGTTTACCGTTACTCCAGATGGGATTGATCTCCGGCTGAGTCATGAGGCCCTCAAACAGATCTATCTCTCCGGACTTCACTCCTGGAAAAAGAAGTTCATCAGATTCAAGGTTTGCCCTTCTGGGTCCATTTCTAGATGCTATCCAGGGTTCCAGGGGAGGGGGGATGCAGTCGATGAACATCCTGGGCTGCTAACTGAAAGGCAGAAGTGTCTGTGCACCCAGAGGTACCTCGGAAGAAAGGCCTGGCAAATCTTCTTCCGAAAGATTAGCCATTGAAAACTCCGTGGAGCACAGATCTACTCTGACACACACGGACGGGACTGCCGTGTGTCGGGAGTTGAAGCTGCAGCAACTGTTTATCTTTCTTTTTTTAAAAAATAATACTCTCTTCAACTTCTAGCATGTGGGTTTCTAGATATTGACATTATAAATATTCTAGAATGATAGCTTTGTTGCTGTTGTGAAGTGCTGTGGAGTTGTTCCCACTCTTCGCAACCCTTTAGAGGGTTTCTGAGGAGCAGCTGGCGAATTTGAACCACCGACCTTGTGATTCAAACTGACCTTGTGAAGTGCTTATACCACAGCGCCACACCAGGACTCCCATCATTTATACAAAAGGGCTTTAAAAAGTTTGTGGAAAAATGGAATTAAAAAATGAGGAATTTTCCCACGAAATTGTTGAAACCCCCTCGTGTTTCCATCATGCTTAAGAGCCGTAGAAACACTGTCATGCATATGGGCTCACTGAATTCTTGAGAGGAGCCTCTCTGGCACAGTAACTAGGGCAGGTGGGCAAGGAAACGTAGACTCGGAGAGGGTAAGTCGAAGTCAGAGGAAAAGCCAGCACTGTATCTTCTGCCCCGAGCCCAGTATTCCTTAGACTTTGTAGAAAAAGTGATTTTTTTTTCCCCCCCAGCTGTATAAACTCAAGCAACTTTGTTTAATAAATATCTTGCCGATAAAATATTCTAGTGTCAAACAATGAATGCAAATACAGCTCATGTCAAATGTTCTCAATTCTGCTTGCTTGAAGACGTGGAAATGCAGTCCCCTTTTTGGCATTAGACATGCTTACATGTTATTCTTTTATTGTAATTCAGTTTTTGAAATCACAGGAGCAATCAGTGTATGTGTAGAAAACTTGGGAGAGGTTGAATTGAAAGGGCTGCGAGTCAGAAGGCAGTACTGCTTACCACCCAGGGGTGTTGTTTCTTTCATTGTTCTCAGAAGGTGGCTAAGAGAAAGAAAAGGTTTCCCCAAAAATGGAGTTGGTGCTATGGAATGTGGGGGAGACGTGTCCCTGGGGCTCAGTCCTGGGTCTTTGTTATTAGGTGCTGCCAGGCCGTTTCCCTCTCATAGTGACCCTGTGCAGACCACTGACCATCCTCATGGTTGTTACATATGAGTCCATATTTGCTGCCACTGGGTCAGTCCATCTAGTTGGGGGTCTTCCTCTTTTTCGACGACCCTTCTTTTTACCAACCATGATGTCCTTCTCCAGGGACTGGTCCTTCCTGGTAACATGTCCTGGAATCCCATCCCATCCCATTAGCCTTCAGTCAGCTGCCATTTTCCATTGGCAGCGGAGGAGGGGTTTCCCTAATGGGTAAAAACCCGGACGTCAAATTAACTGCTCCAATTGGAGGATTTGGCTGAGGGCTAATTAGCCATTTTTTTACCCCCCAAATCTAAGAAAATGGAAGTGAGGGTGCACAGGCAATCGTATCCAACCCAGTGAAAATAAGGTTTTGATTTTAGAGACCTTATAGTGTGGTGCTGTGGGTTAATGCGCCAGACTGCAAAGCTGTTTGAACTGCAGGGTCTGCGGTTCAAGCTCACCAGCTGCTCCTTGGAAACCTTATACAGGGTTGCTATGGGTCAGAACTGACTCAACAGCACTTAACAACAATACAGTTAAGGAGCTCTGGTAGCGTAGTGGTTACGAATCGGGCTGTGAACCACAAGGTCAGCAGTTTGAAACTACCAGCTGTTCCGCGGGAGAAGGATGAGGCTTTCTGCTCCCATAAGGATTTACAGCCTCGGAAACCCTGTACAGGGTCGCTATGAGTCGGAACCGACTCCACGGCACTTAATAACAACAACAATATAGTACAGATAAGGAGTCCTGGTAGTGTAGTGGGTTAGGAGTTGGGCTGCTAACTGTAAGGTCGTCAGTTCAAATCTACCAGCTGCTCCTTGGGAAAAAGATGAGGCTTTCTGCTCCCATAAAGATTTATAGCCTCAGAAACCCTATACAAGTTGGCTGTGAGTCAGAACCAACTTCTCGGCACACAATCACTACCACTGCACAGTTAGGAGCCAGCCCCTAAGTGGTATTGTTAAGCACTCGGCTACCTAAAGCAGGGGTGGAGAGTGTCCAGTACCCGAAATCATTTGGCCTGGCCCTACCACAGCAAAATGCAGTTCTAGCCATCATGTTGCTGTAGAGTTGGTTCCGACCCATAGCAACCCTTTACAGGGTTTCCGAGGAGCGGCTGGTGAGTTTGAACCGCTGACCTTGTGGTTCAAATCAACCTTGTGGTCTAGTGCATTGTCCCACAGGGCCACACTAGGAGCCATCACATTAGGGGGGAGTTCATGAAATGTTTAACCAAATAGAGCAGGCTAATTTTTAAGTTGATAATTTTGTGTGGCTGACAAATGATGTTATAAATTTTGGCAGAAAAAAGGTTCCCCACCCCTGACCTAAAGGTTGACACTGTGGAAGGAGACCCGACAATGTGATCCCATAAAGATTGTTGTTATTAAGTGCCTTTAGTAGATACTGACTCATAGTCACATTGTAGGGTTTCCGAGACTTTAAATCTTGGAGCAGAAAGTCTCAACTTTCTCCTGCGGGAGCAGTTGGCGGGCTTTAACTGCGGACCTTGTTCACATTTAAAGGTTCACAGTCCATTGCTTATCCTATGGGACCACCTCACTGTCCCATAAAGATGACAACCAAAAAACCCCCTATGGTGCAATTCTACTCTAACATATGAGGTTGCCATGAGTTAGAATAGACTCGATGGCAATGGATTTAGCCTTTTGGTCTTCTAGGACAGCAAGGAGTCCTTGGGGAGTGAAAACAGTTCAGTGCTCAACTACTAACCACAAGGTTAGCGGTTCAAGTCCACTCAGAGGTACAAGGTCTGGCAATTTACTTCTGAAAGATCACAGCCACTGAGAACCCCATAGAGCACAGTTCTACTCTGACACACATGGGGCACCATGAGTGGGGTCTACTTAAGAAAAATCATCCACTGAGAACCCTGTGGGCACAGTTCTACTCTGACACACACAGGGGCACCATGAGTGGGATCTACTTATGAAAACTCATCCACTGAGAACCCTGTGGGCACAGTTCTACTGTGACACACATGGGGCACCATGAGTGGGATCTACTTATGAAAACTCATCCACTGAGAACCCTGTGGGCACAATTCTACTCTGACACACACGGGACACCATGAGTGGAGTCTACTTATGAAAAGTCATCCACTGAGAACCCTGTGGGGCACAGTTCTACTCTGACACACACGGGGGCACCATGAGTGGGATCTACTTATGAAACATCATCCACTGAGAACCCTGTGGGCACAGTTCTACTCTGACACACACGGGGCACCACGAGTGGGATCTATTTGTGAAAAAATCCATCCACTGAGAACCCTGTGGGCACAGTTCTACTCTGACACTCACATTGGGGACCATGAGTAGAATCTACTTATGAAAAATCACCCACTGAGAACCCTGTGGGCACAGTTCTACTCTGACACACATGGTACCCTCTCTCCTTCTCCATTCCCTCCCTTCATGTATTTATTTCCACCTAACTTTTTAATTGTTTTTAAGAAGAATTTTTAACTTCTGGGAACCTGAGATAAACCCTGTATTTGTAATCTCTTTGTCCCACATCTTTTAACTATTGGCTAGGGATTCAGTAGGACGAACATTTAGGGATGTGAGTATCTTCTAGGAGAATTCAAATAAAGAGGCGTTGATGTTTATTTAACCTGTTGTCTTGTTGGCTCAATATATTACTATGCTGATTTTGGTAAGCAAGGCTTCTTTTAATTTTAAATTGGAAATTTTCAAACCTACACAGACGTAAGGAGAGTAGGTTAGAGTTTTCTGTTGTTTTTCCCCAAGCCCCCGTCTGCAGCATTTTGCCAATTGTCTTGTGTCTTAGGCCCTTCCCTTTTCTTATAGAGTATTTTCCAGCAAATTCTTGATGTCACGGGAATTCTCCTTTAAATTCTTTGGGGTCAAGCAGGCATCCTGATTGAGGAGAATGGGGAAGGGGTGACTTGGGAACCAGAGTCACAAAGACACTAGATCAGATCAGACTGGGAGGGGGCGGGCCGGATGGCTTGAGGGCATCTGAAATCAGAGCAGACTGGAGGGGTGGGGGATTGAGTGATTCTCAGCTAGGTGCAGCGAAGGTGTCTGTATGACGAACTAGCGTTCCAGGTGAACCTCAAGTTCTGGGATCGCTCTTGGAGAAAGTATTATGAGTTTGTTTTTTGGCTCAGGAAGCGGCGAAAATGGGGAAGGAGTTAGAACATTGGAGGGATGTAAACAAGGCAAGATTTCTGTCTCACAACAGTGTGTGGTTTGCCACAAACCATCTTCTCTCCCACTGTTCTGGGGTTCGCCGAGTGGTCCCTCTGCCCGAGGGACATCCGATCCAGGGCGTGCGCCCTGTGAAGGGTGTAGCTTACAGCATGTGCTTGCTTTCAGAATGGAATCATCACGGGCGTGTATCCAGCCAGCCCCTCCAGCTGGCTCATCGTGGTGGTGGGGGTCATGTCTACCATGTACGCCAAGATCGACCCTTCTCTGGGGATCATCGCAAAGATCAACCGGACCCTCGACACGACGTAAGTCCTCCTTGTCCTTGGAAGCAATAGATGCTTTATTGCTGGTGTTTGTCTGGCTTTTCTAGCAGCGTAACCACAGACACCTCCGGCTCTGGGTTTGTTGGAAGCATTTCTTGGCTTTCTCCCCATTTTTGGACTGGTGGTCCCCCAGGAGTTGCTGTCCCTTTTGCTGAAGCTGCAGGCACACCTAATCCAGTCAGCATGTCTGTCAAGGGAGTTGGCTTCTGACCGGGTGTTACTGTACCTTTTGAATCTGTTCTGGATTCCAGCTGTGCTCCTAGGAACAATTGCTGGGGGACAGTCTCCAGGGTGATCTCAGCTGCTTGGGTCCCCCTCAGAATGGTGGGGAAAGCCCCAGGGGACCCTTGTTATCTTCCCCTCATGGGATTTTAATTTTTCTGGGCACTGGAGAGTGGGATTTCTTTTTGCCAAAAGATTTGACCTGGAAGTGCCTTGGTTAGGAAATTCTGCTCCCTTAGGCGTTAAACTCAAGGGCAGGGATCCAAGTATGAAGCGTGTATGCTCTTAGGGTTCCTCGCTGTTAAGTCCATTCTGACTCATGGCCACCCTGTGTGTGCGCAGTCAAAGTGCTCCTGAGGGCTTTCCGAAGATTGCCAGGACCTTTCCTCTGAGGTACCTTTCAGTTAGCACTTAACTATTTGCACCACCCAGGGACTGCTAAGTCTTTGGCTTCAGAAACAATACTCCCCAAGTGTTGGTTCTGTAACAGGGCTTTGTCTGTGGGTCGGAGTTGCCCGTGGAGGCTGCAGTCAGGCACGAGGTGGGGAGGACCGTGACGTAATGGGGCACAGGGTGTGCCCACTGGCTTCTGGGCCCGTGTTGTCAATGTTGGATGGTGGCCAAGACAAAAATGGACTTGATCACGGAGTTCTACTGGGTGCTTAGGTTTACATGTCTTTATTCAGTCAAAAAGTCTAAGGAACATAAGCCAGTAAAGTGTGGCATGTGGTGAAATCTACTCCTAAAATTTCATTCCTGATGACTCTAGAAGATTGACGCAGTTTAACTTCCAAACCAAACCTCCTGCCATCAGTTACACGTCAGAGCAGCCCTAGATAGGACTTCTGAGACTAATAACTCTTTATGGGAGCACACAGCCTCATTTTTTTCCAGAGAAGTTCAAGGGTTTGAACTGCTGACCTTAATGGTTAGGAGCCCAATGCCTAACTCACAGAACCATCAGTCTCCTTGGATTTTACTTAGCATATACATATCCCTAAGAGTGAACTTCTTATCATGACAAATTATGGACAACATTGTGGAGAATGGGTATTCCGGAACACTTAATTACACTCATGAGGAACCTGTACAGAGACCAAGAGACAGTCATTCAAACAGAACAAGTAGACACTGAATGTTTAAAACTAGGAAAGGTGTGTGCCAGGGTTGTATTCTTTAACCATACTTATTCATTCTGTGTGCTGAGCAAATAATTTGAGAAGCTGGATAATATGAAGAAGAATGTGGCTTCAGGATTGGAAGAAGATTCATCAACAACCGATATGTAGATGGTACAATCTTGCTCGCTGGAAGCAATGAGTTGGATTTACTGATGAAGATCAAAGACCACTGAAGACAAATGGAGAAAAGATTGAAGTTGTCAAAGACTGCGTTTTACTTGGATCAACCGCCAACACTCATGAAAGCAGCAGTCAAGAAACCAAACAACATATTACATTAGGCAAATCTGCAGTGCAGCAAAGATGTCAGTTTGAGGACTTACGTGCTCCTGACCCAAGCCATGATATTTTCAGTAACTTCATCTGTATGTGAAAGTCGGATAATGAAGAAGGAAGACTAGAAGAATTGATACATTTGAGTTATGATATTGGAGAAGAATATTAAAAATACCATGGACTGCCAAAAGAACAAACAAATCTGTGTTGGGAAGAAGTACATCCAGAATGTTCCTTAGAAGCCAGGATGGCCAGACTTTGTCTCTCAGACTTCAGACAGGTTATCAGGAGAGACCAGTCCCTGGAGAAGGAGATCATGCTTGGTAAAGTGACGGACAGTGAGAACGAGGAAGACCTCCAAGGAGGCCGGTTAGCACAGTGACAGCACCAGTGGGCTCCAACGTAACTTGTGAGGATGACGCAGGGCAGGGCAGTGTTTAGTCCTGTTGTGTATGAGGTCGCTGTGAGTCGGAACCAACTGCATGTAGCAGTGACAATGCACTTTGTTCCAGCAATGTTACTTGTGCCCCTGCCTCCTCAGCCTCGTCTTTGGACCCATCTGCAGAGTTTTGGTCCTTGTTCTCGGGGCCTCTGGGATGCAGGAAGGGATTTAGAACCTAATGGAGGGACTTGTAGTATTCAGTTGTGTAATAAGACCTGGATGGGACCTTTATTAGCATCAATGTCCTGTCATTTTTGTGCCAGTGTACCTGGGACTGGAGAACATAGTCTCTCTGGGGACTGGGGACTTTATCACTCTTCACTTGTCACTCAGGAAGCAGCTGGCCAACCTGGGACCCTCGGGGAATCATGCCTCTCACCTGGCTTTGGTTACTCGGATCACCGTATGCATTGGGTTGGGCCGAGTGCTCTGAAGCCTGGAGTGTGCTCAACCTGGATTTTTTTTGAATCTTTGGCCAAATCTGGTTTACAGATCAAATCTGGTTCCCATTTATCAATCGATATGTGTTGTTTCATGTCACTGATTGCTGTTCCTGCAATAAAACACCTCTTGTCCTACTTCCTCCCTGTGCTTCCTGTTTCAATTTTTTTCTTTACTGGTCCTTCTGAACTTTGCCCTTGGGCAAATGTTGTTCTTTTGTTTCTACCTCAAATAGTCACATGTATACCGCCTTGGTGTTACTGCTCATCTTGTAGGCCTGTCTGTGGTTTGGCTGAGAAATGAACCACGGAGGTGAGTCCAGTTTCTTACCTCAAGTGTACCTGAGGGCCGGCTGGGTCTTCAGAAGATCTGTTTCTTTGTCTTTCTAAACCTGGTTCAAGGTCAGCGCTTTCCAGCTTCCTGAGAGGGGCTGCTGAGACTCCAGGCAGCTGGTTTCTGAAGGGCAACACATGAAAGGGCTAAGTGACCTTGGTCTTTATCCCTGCGCTTTCCCAGAAGCCTGTTCAGGAATGTGGCTTTCAGTGAGAGGGTTTTGCCGATGCTTTATCAAAGTGCATGTATGTATGTTCACATGTATACATGTATGTGTGTCTGTATATGTGTTATACCTGAGCATGTATATGTGTCTGCATGTACATGTGCTTGTAAGTGTGTGTATATCTGTATATGTGTGTGTGTACATATATACATTATATATATACATATATATACATGCACACACACACGAGGGGGCTTCAGAAAGTTAATGACTAAATGGAATGAAAAGATAATGAAATTATCCTACAAACTTTTTTTTTTTTTTTTAGCTAATAATTAGTTTACATCCATTTATCTGTAGAATAACTGATTTGAACATGAGTTTTTCCATATCAGCATTCTACAAGGTTTTTTTTTTTTAATTAAATGTTTTTATTTTGGATTGAGTGAAAGTTTACAGGGCACATCATCAGCTTCACATTCAACCATTCATATAGCTTGTTTCATTACATTGATC